TGATTTGGTGCTAAATCCAGGGCTCCCATGCAGCGCTCCGAAATCAAACTAATGTTTTTAACAGATAATTCCTGTAAAAGCAATTTGATCCTGTTCCTTTTTTCCTTCAGAGAAATGGAGCTTTCATCATTCTCAATTACTTACAGGGTTATTGTGAGCCTGTACAGGATCATAACCATCCCACTAAACTTCCTTTATTTTCTAGGGATTTGGAAATGCCTCTGGGAAAGCAAGGCTGTCCCTAGTGCTGAGCCCAGCTTAGTTTTGCACTTTGCTATATATTTTAGCAAGCCCTGTTCTAAGGAAATGTTAATAGTAAATGTACAGCACTATAGCCATGGCAGCCTCTGCATCAGAGCTTCCTACTGGCGAGAGGAAAACCTCATTCTTTTTCTAACAGAGATGGTGTCATCTGTGTAAAAAAAAAAAAAAGGTTATTTTATGCACTGGGTCATTTCTGACCCAGTGACTATGTGACCCATAATAACTGGTCATGATTCAATAGATGATGTAATGTATATCCCATGTACAGACCATATGTTATCTTCAGGACACTTCCTCTAATTCAGGTGGGTCCACAGGTAGGAGGCCCGGTGCCAGATTAGCTGTTGTCATCTCCTTGTGGTTTAACCCAACCCAGAAGGAAATAAATGTTTACATCTTAGCTGAATTCAGCTTACTTCAATATGGATTTTTGGCAGTAGTGGAGGACTAGACATTGTGTTAAGCACCAGATTATGCTAATAAATTCATGTTTTATATCTGCAAAAGAATTAATATTGATAAGCATATGTTTATGAGTTTCATATTCAGCAGAACCTTCCAGGCATATACCTATGTACCAGTGCTTTGCAAAATCGGGAATCTAGCAGTTGACATGAGCATAGTAGAAACTGTAAATAGACTTGATTTAATTTAGGGGAAAAAATGAGATGTAAAAAGTGTTCTGCTAAAACCTTTTACAGCCCATAGTATTCTGCTGTGCTGTGTGTGAAGTTCATTAGCCTGCCTAACAGTCATGAAGAGGAGTGGAGAGTGGCTGAGCAGGCAGGGAGAGAAAATCCTGAAGGGCAACGCAAAGCATGTTTTGCTTTGTTCTGAACCTGTAGAATACTGTGAGTTTAACACGTTCAGTTATCTGTACCATGATCTAAACAACCAACAGACAGATTCTGCTACCCGAGACACTAAGTGCCCTAGCTTTCAGTTGAAATTAGAGTGCATAATCAGTCAAACACTGATTCAAATGACAGGTTCAGTGAAAGGTACTTAAGGAAATTCCCAATTAGACCTGCCCATCAGACATGAATTTTTCTGTTTCATTTGCATTAAAAAATAAACCACAGGTTAGAATTAAGGCATGCATATTGTCCTTTCAGCAGAGAGTGATGTGCTTGCTCCCTGCAGAAGAGTCTGACTTCTATCAGGTTTTGTCCTTTTGCTAATTCAGCTTTCCTTGTGTGGAGATTCAGAAACATGATCTTGGAGGTTAGCCAAGGTTTCTTTGACTTTGAGATTCAATGTTAACTCTTTTTTTTAAAAAAATTGGTTCTCCTTTGTTTGGATTTAACAGCAAATGATGAACTCCCACTGGAGGGTATCCCTGTCTGGAACATATTCATATTTGTGTTAGAGGGCTCAGAGTCTCACTGCTCAGGCTGGAGGAATTTCTTGTGATAGATTAGCTCTGATGTTATTTAGCAAGCAGCTCGCATACAACAAATAAAGGCCAGCAATGTGTAAGACAGACTGTGTCTGGCAGCTTCATATTATGATAGGCTATGAGCAGTTCCATTTTGCCAAGTTTGCTTTAGCCTCTGAAATCTATGCTCCAAGAACCGGTGTAAGAATACCCTTTCTGAGACTGTAAGTACCATGCAGCTTATCTGTCTCTCCCTCACCATCTCATAAAATGTGTTTTGAGTAGCTAATACTAGTTAAGTGGATATTAACTGGTGATGGAAGAGATCTTATTTACTGGGTTCCTGTGCTCTGGCATGATGCTGACTGGAGTACAGTGTGATGTGGCCTGGACTCCCTGTATGTTCCCAGTGCCGTTGTAGCCACATTGCCCGCGGCAGGGTCAGGGCTTACATGACTAGCAGTCAGTGCTGTACACAGCACCTGAGGCCCAGTCATGCCCAGCAAATCTGTGTTTGCAACATAAGTTACTGTAAAGTCCTTTTCCCCAAGCTTTTCTCAAGCTCTGGAGGGGGGGTCTTGTTGGAGAATGGCTTGCAGAGAGCAAGGCCATAGCTCCCTGCAGAAGTCGGTCACAGCCACCTGAGGTAAACAAAGGAAAGAACCCAGGGTACAGTTATGCTAACAGGGAAGGAGATTCAAGGCTCAGTAATGCTAACAGGAACTGTTGTGAGAACAAAGAGATAAGTTGGGGCTCATTATGACCTTGGGGGTGAGACAAAAACAGCCCTCGGCAAGAAGCAGGCCAGAAGAAGGAAGATGTTGTGACATACCTGAAATGCCACAAGGGGCTGGGATATTATAATGTGACCTTTTAGATGTACCCAATGGCTGAGATATTATAATGTAGCTTTTTTAATGTATCCAATAGATTTACAAGTAGTGTATTGTAGACTGCTTATATAAGGTGTGATTTCTTTCAATAAAGTTGAAGCTTGCTCTGTCATTCACATTGAATCGGTTGCTTGCTTCCTCCGCCCACCGCAGGGTCTTTTGTTTTCCATTGCTTGCTTAAGTGCAGGGTGTAAAATAATTTACAACACATTTTAATTTGTTCTCTGCAGAGGCCTGATTGCTTTCAAGGAGGCCTCTAGTTGACAAGTCAAACTCTCAAAGGGCCCCTGGGAATGAGCGCTGGAATTGTTCATTCAGCTCTTTTGCATGCACTATATGACTGTTTTCTCTCACAACAAATGTTGCAGGCAACCTTGAGCATCCTTTGAAAATTTGTCAATAGACATCCTATTTCTTTATGCTTACACAGAGCTCCTCTGCTTCCAGTTCTTCAGTGTTATTGTAATACTGGGCTGAAGGCAGCAAACAGATTTCTTTTTACTTGTGACATCAAGAATGGCATCTGCGTAAGATCTGGCACAGGAAACCCTCTCCACTTACAATATGTATCTTTGTACTTTGCTTTTTGCTTTAGGTGTGCAGCTGTCTGCACATAGACCTCTCAGGTGCTGTATCCTCTGGCCAGCTCTGATATAATAGAGAAGGATGAGAGGACACAGAAAATCAGAGACTGGCTGAGAGAACTTGGTGCTTTCGAGCTGTTTAGTGCAGCTCAGGCTGACCGTCCATCCAGGAGAAAGAGCAGCTGCTTGGCTTACGAGTTTGGTGCACTATAACACAGATATCAAGAAAAAATCACTTTGAATGGAAGGGAATAGAGGAAGAAAAGCTGAAAAGTGTTTTCACCAAAACCTAAGTGATACTAGTATCTGCAAACCTGGCATCGCACCATGGAAGGTCGTAAGAAGCCAAATTCTACTCTCTGATACGTTGTTGTTATTGTAAAATAATTCCTGGATCAACCAAGACAAATCCAACAAATCAAAGCATTAAGTACCTTTTGCTTCACATCTGCCCTTACTGGCCTTACCTCTCATCTCTTCCATACAAATCTACCTGTGTAGTGTCCTGTGGGATTCCACCCTGGGATTCTGATGGCCATACTGCTTTTCTTGTAAGGGTGTGTGGTTAGATCTGTCTAAACAGCATGGTTCCTATGTGGATACGTTCTGGTATTATATGGGCTTACATGAACAGATTGTTAAAAGAAACGTATTCAGCCCCTAGAGCTGATGACTTTGAGAAAAGGGAATCAAATTGCTTTTGCTGTTTAATTTACAGTCCCCTGGTATTGTATTTATTCCCAGTACAGTACAAATGAGTGTGCCCAACTGAGTTATTTTTCAAATCAAAATACTGTTTTTCTTCCCCTAGTTCAGGAAGACCTCCAACCACAAAATGGTGGGAGGGTGTTTCCAAGGAAGCATCAGTATGTCCTTGCCCACTTCTTCTACTTTTCCCTGTGTAGCCATCACTGGCCACAGTCAGGGACAAGGCACTGTGATGGATAATCTTTGATCTGACCCGGGATCACCACTATTTTATAGGCACAGGTGATAACGGAAGCATTTAGCAGAGCTCACAAATGCATGTGTGGGAGCTTTGAAAGGGACAGAAGAAGGACACGTCAGAGGCTGGACCTGCACCTGCTCCTTCTCTGCAAAGTCAGGGTTGTCTGAGGGGTTGGTCTCCTCCAGACGTTCTTGCCTGTAGGAGTTTGGGGTGACCAGGTTCCTACCTTAGACACTTTTGATACTTTTGTTGCTTAAAATTAGGTAAGGCAAAGCCTGCTTTAGCCCTTGATTGTCTTGCCAAAATTGCCATAGGTCATGCTGAGGACTAGCCCTTGCATCAGGAGCTGGGTTGAAAGGGTTTCAAAAAGTTACCTTTGGCACTTCTTCCCATGCAGCACCAGTTGCAGCTGAGACGAAGTCCAGAAACAGTCCCCTTTTGCTGCTTTGCACAGCTGGGCTGCTGGCACACTAGAACATTTTGCATATGCTGGTATAAGTGTTGGAAAATTTATTCACACAAAAATCTTCCCATTCTCTTAGATAAAGGATTTTTTCCCCACATTTTGTTGTCAAAATCTTTTCCCCATCTGTTATTGGGGCAAAACAACCTCCTAGCCAGGATGTTTTATTCATGGATAAGGCTTTCATTGGAACTTGTTTTAAGAAGCTAAGGGTTGGGGGCAGATTTTGCTCCTAGTGAAATCAGCAGCAAAACTCCCACTGATTTCTCTGTGAGCCGAATCGAGTCTCTCCTGACAATGGGGAGGCTTTTAGAGGAGTTACGATGTCTGTGGACAAGGTCTCGTTGCTTTGCCTTTTCAAAAGAGAACTGTTTCTGGTGGAGGAACAATCAGAATATTTGTCTCTTTAAATGAATGGTTCTTAGAGCCTGCACTGAGAGGCAGTCTCCCTCTCTGCGGCTGTGAGGCTACTCAGAGCCTCCAATAAATCAGCATGCAGGAACTGAGAGCTCTGTCCTTGAAGAGATGCACAGTGACCTTGCTTATGCTTACTCTGGAGGAATAACCAGGGGAAATATAGGAGCCCAAATAGTGAGTGGTGTATGACTAAAGGCACTGCATTCTGCATGAAAATGCTACAGTACCGAAGGGACTGTACGGACAGCATGCTGTTACACAAAATGCAGCTTTCCTGCTAGCCTGACCAGATTGCTGCTGTTGTTTTTTGCAGGGGACTGAATGAAATCCTCATGATCGTTACATGCTTGTTGAATAATAGCACACCCCAGTCACGTCTCCTTGCAAGCACATTTCATTGGAATCACTGAGCAGAAGCAAAGAAGAGCTGACGACTATGTGTTTCCAACATGGGTTGCCGGAGCCCTGTGTTTGCCATTGGCTGCAGTTTTCTGGTTTATTTGCAGCTTCCCCCATCTGGAATATGAAAATGGGATTGAAGTAGATAATTGCTAGCAGCGCGTTTTCAAGAGAGGCTTAGAGGAAACAGAATGCCTCTTGCACAGCACAGGCTGCCTGCACCGAAAGAGCTCTGAGAGATGATTTTAGATGTTACCCACGTCTGATTCTCCTGGAAACTTTACCATGGAAGCCAGCCACTGCGCACAGTCCTGGAGCTAACATCCAAAAGGGGCAAGGAAGGGACAGCAGGGCCAAACAATGGGATACCTTGTCTTTGGATTGCTCAGAGAAAAGCCAGCAAGCGTTCCCCTCCGCTTCCCAGCAAAAAGGGCATGAAGGCGACAATGAACTGAATTTTACCAGTGCAGCTTCAGTGGCTTTTAAGAAGGATGGGCTACACTGACCCTTCGTCAAGCAGGGATTTGCTGGGGAACAGAACTTTGTTCTTCATATTCATCTGCGCCTTTGCCGTGGTCACCTTGCTGCAGCAGATCCTCTATGGGAGAAACTATCTCAAAAGGTAAGGGGGGATTTGAGGGAATAGGAAAAGTTGTCTGATCAGGCTGAATGGAGACAGAGGCGCAGCCATACCATTATAAGGGTTCAAACTACTTCTCGGTGTTGTGCTGACAGTGTTAATATCTTGTCAATCTGCGAAGGTGCATCCAGCATCTGTAATGTCTGTTAGATTATTAATAAAGGAGAATGTCAGGCAGAATATAGTAATTTGTGTGTTTCTCTAGATTGTGTTTTAATCCTCAGCTGTCGTAAAAATCTAGGTCTTACTTAACATTAACTAGACTGACTTGTACCACCTGATCAGACCCTGTCATATAGGCTTTTCACCCTGTGCAAGTTTAAGTTGAAATGCCTTGAGAGGTTGAATTAAGGTAGCATGCTCATTGCCTGAACTTTAATGTCTTTAGAAACAAACATGCAGATGCAATTCCTAAAATCAAAGTGTCAGAGAGCACTTTATTTTTTCACTGCTATATTCTTATGGATTACTGCTGAGACCACTTTGTTGTAGAGCACATCACGCTTTGATCTGAAAATGATACTGCTCTTTTTACAGCAAGCACCAGTGGGGATCTTCAAGTGTTTAACCTTGACCCATGCAGAGTTTATTTTACTTAAATCTAGTTTGAGGTGTTACAGCTTGTATGCTTTTATACACGGGAATCTTTCCCTTACATGCTTTGAGATCAGTGGGTTTCAGTAGTGTAGGCAGCTGCTGTGGAATTTTTTACTGGAATTTAGTTACATTTTGCCGGAAGAGATAAATGGTTTGATTCTTGCCTGGTTTGTAACTCATGTAGTTTTTTGCCTTGTGCCAACAGCAAGCAAAATGCTGACATATCAGCAAATGTTTCTCGCTGGGGGGTGGTGGGGGGGAACAGCAAGCATGACATTAATATGTATAGACAGGAGTGTTGTAGTTTGTCCACAGAACAATTTGTGTGCCTTGCTTAGCAGCGAGGCCTTGGCTGGGGGACTCGATCTGCTTTTGGGCACCTCACTTCCAGCAAGATGTGACTCAGTTGGAAGGGGCAAGAATAAGCAGAGGTGTAGAAAACATGTATTTGTTTGTCTTGGAGAAGATTGAGGGGAGATACTGTAACTGTCTTGAAATACCCAAACTATTTCTGCCAAGAGGACAGTAATAAAAGCATCTCTGTGAAGGCTCATGACATGATAGAAAGTCGTGGGTTTAAGTTGCAGAAGGAAAAATTTGGGTTTAACCATGAGGGGAAACTTTTGAAGAATAACAATACCCAAGAAGGTTAAAATCTTTATCTTCGGGAGCTTCAGGAACCTAGAATCATAGAATCATTCAGGTTGGAAAAGCCCCTCGGGATCATCGAGTACAAAGTTCTCCCCTACCCCACATCCCCCACAGCTCATCCCAACGGCCCTGAAACCCCCCCAGGGATGGGGACTCCCCCCTCCCTGGGCAGCCTGTTCCACTCTCGGACCACTCTTGCTGGGAAACATTTTCTCCTCCTGCCCAGCCTGACCCTCCCCTGGGGCAGTTTCCAGCCGTTCCCTCTTGTCCTGTCCCTGATCCCCTGGGAGCAGAGCCCAGCCCCAGCCTCTCTGCAATGTCCTGTCAGGAGCTGCAGAGAGGGATGAGGGCTCCCCTCAGCCTCCTCCTCCTCACCCTCCCAGCCTCCCCTCAGCCTCCTCCTCCTCGCACCTCAGCCTCCTCCTCCTCACTCCCAGCTCCTTCCCTGGCTCCTCACAGGATTTATTCTCCAGCCCTTCCCCAGCCTTGTTGCCCTCCTCTGCATTCGTTCCAGCCCCTCAATAACCTGTTAGATAGAGAAGAGTAATACTGAGCTGTCTTGGTGTTAAGAAGATGACTTTATGACCAGTTGAGGTCTCATCTTGTGTTATTTTCTCAGTTTTTCCCATTTGTCCTGGAGGCCTTGCAGCCCTACCAGTACTTGCTTTTCTAAATTGAAATGACTACAGCAGGATTAGAGCAATGAAAAATAAATCCCAAGTATAAACTGAAATGAAAAATGGCAAATTATAGATAAAATGTTGAGAAGATGCAGCTTAAAACTCTTTCAGTGAGTGATCTCCCAGTCTCTGTCCTGCGTCGTGCTCTGTGAGCCTCTCCTGTCATCAGTGGGCTGAAGGGAGTAAAAAAAAAGGGTGATGTCCAATTCCCTGGCTTGCTAGGAGAAAATCTGGTTCTGAGCACTCTGACATCAAAGGGGCCCAAGCAGGGAGATGTACGTACATTTTGTCACTTTGAGAGGAAAACACTGTGGTTTTGTTTTTTTTTTTTTTTTTGTTTGTTTTGTTTTTTAATTCCAGCTTGTAATGATTTGTTTCTCTCTCTTTTTTTTTTTTTTTAATCATATGAAAGATTCTCAAAGAGGGTTGTCCCCAGCTCAGTGCAGGGAAGAAGCCCTTTGGCTTCTTTCTGCTGGGAAGAGGTAGTTCCCATCTTTCATGGAAATAAAAATGCAGGATGTGGCAGTCTCAGGCTGTCAGTTATTAATGATAGAAAGACGATTTACGTAGCAGCCTACATAATATTATCATTAAGGTAGTTTTTCACTTTTTCTTCCCCTCTGTCACTCTCATGCCCTGCAGCATATTGTGGTGACCATTCCTGGGCAGTTTGATTGCCAGTCCGCTCCATGCAGGGATAGCTGTAACCTTTAATGAGTCTTTTCTTTCACAAACCTCCTGTGTTAAGTCCCCTGTTAGAAGCTGATGCTGGCTGTGAGGTTCCTTGGACATGTTATAGCTTGCACCTCCAGTGACCACAGTGGATCTGGTCGTTTTGGAGAACATTCTTGCAGAGGGAGAAGCGGGATATTTATATCTTTGGTGCTGCTTGCCAACCTGGAGCCTGGGGATGCTGCCTAAACCTAAAGCCATTTACTCACTAGGATTCAACATGCTGATTGTTTTATGACAGACTTTGCTTGCATCCCAACATCTACAACAATAACAGGCCTCTGGGCCTCTTCCCAAGGCTGTGGGAAGAAATTCCCTAGTGGGTTTTGAGAAACCTGAAAATTGCCCTGGAAGTGCTATTCCAGTAAACATACAGTTCTTTTAAGACTAAATATAACACTGGGTTAGCTCATTTCTCTTCGAGAAGATGATGGAAATGGGTAAAGACCAGAAAGGCAGGGGCAATCTGACTAAAAACTGGAAAAAGTACTCTTTTCTGGCAGAAAGATGGAAAAGTGAGCTGTATGGCTGTAAGCTGTGCTGTGCCACTTACCCTTACAGGCAGGGAGTGGCTGGGTTTATTTCCATAAAAAACCACCTAAAGCTCTCCATGGAGGGTGCCACGGAGGCTTGTGGTTCTGTTTGCCATTCTCCCAAAGGCTGGCTGTGGGGACAGCAGGACTGGAGACAGGAGATGTTGTTCCAGGAAAGAATCTCTGCTCAGTGAAATCTGATAAGGGGCCAAGCTTATGGTAAAATCCTTTCTTTCCCCTTAATGAGATATTAATGAGCTCTTGGCATTGCTGGAAGAAAGGGAGAATGTAGAGATTGAATTCCTAAGTATTCATGTGTTTTTCACTCACCATATAATATCCGCTCCTTCCCCTGCTGTTTTGTTCCGTGCCATTGGAAAGCACAATCTTGCCCACCTTTTTTTTTTTTTTTCCCCCCTTTTTCAGTTTTTCTCCAAGTGGGATGGATGTGGGTGCTCTCATCAAGGCAGTGCCTCATCCCCGTAGTAGCAGCTCAAGTCCTAATGAGAGAGTTGAACTGCACGCTGGAGAATGACATCGTGAAGCTCTGGTCTCTGTAGCTCCTGATCCTGAGTAAAAAGGATGATGAAATGAGATATAATTAAGGGACTTTAATACGGATCTCTGGGGTAATTATTTTTATTTTAGGATTAATGTGATGATTAAGAATACGCTGCATTGATCTGCTAAAGTAGGTTAAACACTGTGGACTTCTGCTTAAATCCAGAGCTGCCGCTTGCTTTTGTATTGACTCATCTTTCCAATGCTCGCCTTTCAGCTGAATTTTCTTTTGAATCAGATGCTCAGCTGAGGGCTGGCCTTTTTTTGGTGAGCTCTTGTTTGGCCAGCAGGGAATAATCCTGGATTACATCAGGAAACTGCCACTACAGTAAAAAATGTTAAAAATGTCCCTGCCTTCATCTCCCAACCTGTAGCATGGTATGGGTCAATAGGACGGTCCCTGCCTGCTTTGACAAGGGAAAAATATCAGAGCAAGACTTCGCTATATACCAATATTCTATTGGCAGAAAATTAATTAAATACTGTTTTTTTAACAGCCTGACTTCTGCACAGGATGACAGTCAGCTGAAGAAAGAAATCTGCGCCTTTAAAACTTTTTTTTTTTTTTTTTCCCGAAGCCAAGTGAGGAGAACACATTTTCAAAGCTATTGAAGACTTTAAAAAAAGATTACCCCGGGGTTCTGTTGGAGGGTGCACATACAATAACTCAAAGAATCACGCAGCAAGAAACAGCAAACCTTCCCCTGCAGGCAGCGTGCATTATTTGAAAGATTTACGTCTTTCAAATGAGAAAAAAACATCACTCCTATGTGTGTGTACCCTATAATTAATATCAGACTCTCATAACTTGAGGTTATACCACCATTTTTGTATTTCTGAAGCAGCTGTTATTCAACAGTTGAAGATCAATACCCAGGCATCTTTTCCCCTTTCCTTACCTGCATAAGAAATGTAGCTTATGAGAATTTGTTGCACAGCATGGGCAAATAAGGAATGAACTCACAGAAAATAAACCTGGACTACAGCTTGAGAGATCATTTAGTCTGTACTGTGCTATAAAACAAGATCAGATCTTACTTATACCAGCAACAGCAGTTGTTGTAATGTGGACACAGAGGCTGCATGTGACCTGAGTTGTATTTTGTCCTGAACTGGGCTCTTGAGGAACTGCAGCCATCTCATGTCAGTTGAGAACTTCTGCCCCATACCTGGCACGTGCTCCTCTGGCCTATTCATAACACCTTGTGAAGATGTTAACCGTAATGTA